TACTGTCAAATGTGTAACAAATTTATTAAACGTCTAAATATTCAGTTATTTTACAAAGTGACTGAAAAACATTTCCATCTGTATTATTATGAAAACGAATTCCAAACATTTTGATGTTTAATGTCATCACCAAGAGACTGAAAATGTTACGTTGAAAAGTACATTTCTATGTTGTTTGGCTTCTAATCCTACATAATAACCTGTTGTGATGTTTGTAGGCCCTTTTGATCGTCTTAATGAATCTGGACAGATTTTTTAGTCAAAATGACTGAAATATTTACACATTTTATAAATTGCCAGAGAGAATCACATTTTACAAATTGACGGTAATATATACACGCTTACAAAGGAAAAGGACCTGTGAAAACAACGTCTATCGCGCATTGAAGAATTTCCCAACCAAGACGTAGAGAAACAAGAACGAATCGGTTCAAATGAAGGAAAACAAAATGCAAATATCATAATTACAACCTACCAAATTTATGTGTATAAATTTTAGGCAGCTTCCTTGTTCGAGGAATGTATCCGTAAATATCCACACAAAGGAACAATAACCAACTCGTCTGCAGCTGTACAAAGAAACTTATTCGATGTCACGTGTCTCTGTAACAATCAAATATTTTAAAATATATATATCGTTTTGGGATATAATAACCCGTGTTCGTTTCTCAACTGATCACTTAGATTGTTTCAGGTGTTTCACATAGGTGTCAAGTCTCAATGGTCAGCTGAGAAAGCCCACGTGACAACTATTTTCATAACGTCCACGGTTCCTAAAAAAATCCATTGAGTGATAGATAACAATGATCAATCAATCAACGTATTATCAGTTAACCCTTTGACCAAAGTATGTTGTTTTTACATCGGCACTTCACGCCATGATATGAGTGTATTCCCTTTGTTTTAGTAAACCTAGACATGTAAACACTCACTCTTGACATATCCACTGTGCAAGATAACAGTGATTAATCAATCAACGTATTTTCTGTTAATCCTTGGATGACTAGGAACGATCCGTTGATTTAAATCAACTGATCATTCATCTCTTGCTGGGCTGCCACGTGCATATTACATAACACACATTTCACCTCACTTCAAACCTGGATTTAGATTGAATAATTACCCCAGACACAATAAATGCCAAATGGGAACCTTTGTCAAGTAATCTAAGTGGTGCTACCACTAATTGTACCTGTAATAAATTCATTAACTGAGCATCAAGTAAATGACGACAAATACACAAGTGTAGGGTTATACGAGAAAACGTGGATGACAGCAAGGGAGTAGTAATCGTATTATCGACGCAAGCCTAAATCCGAAAATGCTTTCACTGCATGGATACTTTTTATTAGAATTAAACTATAACCATCTGGGGTATTTCTAAATGACGACATCCGATGAGCTCCGCCGTTCTTTTTGTCTGTTTGTTAAGGCTGAAGAAATTAATTAACATGAGCCCTTTGTCGAAATCCTTATAGATCACAGTTAACCAATCAGTGTTTATGCAAAAATGCGTAAAACAAATATTGCCTCCAAGTTTATTTAGCTGTCCTTGTAGACGGTAGCCCAGTCTCTGGTCACGCTCAGTTGCGTTGCGTATCATCCGGGTACTCACTGGGGACAAAACAATAACAAAGGCAACAACCAGTCCCGGGGATTGCGTTAGATCAGTGCCCCTTTGATAGGCCACCCCTGAATAAAATAGTTCCCCCAAAAGCGAGGAACATATGTTTCAGAATGTTTACAAGAAATATATTCCAAACAATATCCTCATTAGATGAGAAGATCTTTTACAGAATTACCTCAGTAAGTCAATTACAATGACAGAGCATCGTAATACATTTGCATCAAGTACAATACGTCAAAATGGCCGACACGATAAACGTGACCGGAGATATTTCAGAATTTGTTAATTAACCTGTGGCTATTTCAAGCCTTTGGCATCACTGATCAATTGGCTGATCATAGAAAGGTGATTGTAAAGATGTGTTAAATAGATATTAAGGTAAATTCATAGATTGCTGTAGATTGTCACTACGATAGTTTGGATTTTTTTGGGTTTATTTTGGTTTTTGTTATGCTCTGGGACGGGTTGTAGCGAGGGTATTCCTGAACGGGCATGCATCCACACTCTCTGACTTATGCCAGAGTAAGCTAAGATGCTAAATTCAAAATTAAAGGGTCTAAATGACGAGAAACAACGCTTCTGTATGAATTCGTACCAGGGAATTCCAAGGGTTTTCCCCAAAAATGTGGAAGTAGTCAATGTTTACGCCATTTCAAGAATACAGTCACGTGAAGAACGTCATTTGACCGACCTCTCGTCCAATCGTAAAGCCGTATATCTTGTAAACTTCACATTAAAAAATTAGTTATTGTTATAACTAAATGAAACACAACCCATAATCCGATAGAGGTAACTGTGCGGAGGGATATGTTACCACAATAACCTTGGTAACATTGTTTGGGTTGACTTCTTGGCGCGTGTCTGAATTCCATTAACATGTTACATATCCTAAAACTGGCTTATCAGCAAATCTCGCTGCACTGCGCGCGACAGATACTAGAGCAAGGCATGCCAGATATACGAAACCTTATGCTTACCGAAGGGAAGCCTTAGGAATCACCGTGCGTCGGGTGACCAGTGCAATCTGATTGGCCGTTAACAGTTGTACAATGCGGAGCAAATAAGCATCGTTTTTCTGTCCATTTTACGCTGGAAAAACTCGACCCTTTTCCGGACACTTTCTAGACGCTCGCCAATTAATCAATTTTAATGAATTTTTGGTCGTCTTTCCGTCCAATGACCATATACGGAAAAAAACGACGTTTTCGTGTTTGCAGTGAAATGAGCTTCTGCGAGCCATTCGTATGCTTGAAGCAGGATCGAGTCAACGTGATGTTGCAAGACAATTTAACGACCACAGAAACACCATTTGGTGTTTATGGCAACGTTGGCAACAGACGAATGCGGTCAGAGACCATCCTCGAATTGGCAGGCCACGCGTAACCAATAATCGACAAGACAACTGGATTGGAACAACACACCTACGAAATTGATTCCAGCCAGCGGCAGTGACTGCAGGAAGCATCTCTGGCCTTCGACGAATATCTTCACAAACCGTCCGGACAAGTTCTATTCACTGACGAGTCTTGTTTTCACCTCAGCCACAGCGATGGAAGGATTTGAGTGTACAGACGTCGAGGTGAACGTTACGTCAATCATTGTGTCATGGAAGATGATCAGTTCGGGGGCGACAGCATTATGGTATGGGGTGGACTTACAGCAAGACAGGGGGCCCATTTGATAGTGGTAGAGAGAAATCTCAATGGACAGCGCTACCGCGACGAGATCATCGGCCCTGTTGTTGTACCGTTTTTGCGTCATCATGGCAAAGGCATTACCTTTCAACATGACAACGCCCGGCCTCATACTGCTCGACTTGTTCAAGATTCTCTTCAACAAAACAACGTGAATGGCCGGTTCGCTCCCCTGATCTCTCACCAATCGAGCACATGGGGGATGAGATGGATCTGCGCCTTCCACGTCAACCATTTGTTCCACAGACACTCCAGGAACAGATATCCCACATTGATATAATCATAGCTTGTGTCAACTGTGCACCAGCCCACATTGACTGTGGTATAAATATAACTAGTGTCAACTGTATGCTATCCCACATTGACTGTGGTATAATCATAACTTGTGTCAATTGTATGCTATCCCACATTGACTGTGATATAATCATAACTCGTGTCAACTGTATGCTATCCCACATTGACTGTGGTATAAATATAACTAGTGTCAACTGTGTACCAGCCCACATTGACTGTGGTATAATCATAACTTGTGTCAACTGTGTACCAGCCCACATTGACAGTGGTTTAATCATAACTAGTGTCAACTGTGTACCAGCCCACATTGACTGTGGTTTAATCATAACTAGTGTCAACTGTGTACCAGCCCACATTGACTGTGGTATAATCATAACTAGTGTCAACTGTGTACCAGCCCACATTGACTGTGGTATAATCATAACTAGTGTCAACTGTGTACCAGCCCACATTGACTGTGGTTTAATCATAACTAGTGTCAACTGTGTATCAGCCCACATTGACTGTGGTATAATCATAACTAGTGTCAACTGTGTACCAGCCCACATTGACTGTGGTATAATCATAACTAGTGTCAACTGTGTACCAGCCCACATTGACTGTGGTTTAATCATAACTAGTGTCAACTGTATGCTATCCCACATTGACTGTGATATAATCATAACTAGTGTCAACTGTATGCTATCCCACATTGACTGATGTATAATCATAACTTGTGTCAACTGTGCACCAGCCCACATTGACTGATGTATAATCATAACTAGTGTCAACTGTATGCTATCCCACATTGACTGATGTATAATCATAACTTGTGTCAACTGTGCACCAGCCCACATTGACTTATGTATAATCATAACTTGTGTCAACTGTGCACCAGCCCACATTGACTGTGGTATAATTATAACTAGTGTCAACTGTGCACCAGCCCACATTGACTGTGGTATAATCATAATTGTGTCAGCTGTGTATCAGCCCACATTCGATGTGGCATGATCATAACTTAAGTGGACTGTGTACCAGCCCAGATTAGCTATGGTATAATCTCACATCTTACGTCATCTGTTTACCAGCCCTCATTTGCTGTAAATCAATTGTGAGTCGACCACACGTCCCAGAAGTCGTATTGCGCCACTCTAATATCTAGAGAATACTACACTCATTCTCGTTAGATACCATTTTTACGAAACGAGTGGACTGTCAATGGTATCTGACCGAGCGAAACTCGTGTGACGTACGGATTTAGTATCTTACCATCTGCATCTTCACCACGTGGGTAATAAAGCAAAGCACCAACCTCAGATTCACATCAACGTACTACGGCAAGTGTAAGATAAAGATACTTGTACGTCCCACACCTGTTTGACTTCTCACGTGGGGGTATTTGAGCTCGTTTAACACCCCCCCGGCTGAATGATTAATTCGCTTCCTCATTGGTCCTTGCAGTTTAACTTAGCGTTATTACCTCTTGTCAGTTTGCCACTCACTCAAATTCCCAGCCACAGTACATTATCCACGTAGAGCGTTGGTAACACGTATTGAGGATGCCACGGAGAAAACGTGAGGAAGAGGTGCCACACACAACAAACAAACGAGTAAGTTAAACTGTTACACATAATTGTTTTATAAAAAATATGATATAATTTATCCCCACTGGATAGTCTTCGTGTTGAAGATGCAGCAACTTGTCATAATCGGTCAATAGTCACAATAAACATGTTATTGTATGGTTGTACCGGTAATATTGATATTGTTATAATAATTGTACTTAGAAGAAAACGTTTAACGGATGAGAAAAAATAATTTCTGTTATTTTTTAAACAGCCCAAGATGTCTGGTCCAAGAGAGCATATCAAAGGTTGGTGGAATAAATTTGTACATGTTATATATAAGGTACGGTGAGGAATGATCTTTACTCACGTGTACAGTTATCCCGGGCGACTACAAGAGCGTGCTCGGGATGTTTACATTTAACTCACTGTCAATCGATTCCCTCGGACATCAACAAGTAAGCACTGTGACAGATGACGCTGATACGGCAATTTGGAGATGGGGTTAGTAGGTTGGGTATGGTGGAGGTGGGGTCGGGGTGGTGTGGTTGAGTGGGGTGTTAAATCCAGTGATTAACATCATTAACATCGATCCACGCAATTGGGATCGATGACATTTATCAACCAAGTCAGCGAGCCTGACCACTCGATCCCGTTAGTCGCCTTTTACGACAAGCATAGGCGCCTTTTACGGCAAGTATGGGTTGCTGAAGATCTATTCTACCCCGGAATCTTCATGGGTCCTGAGGGGATTGTGCTGCCAGTCTAACTTAACATCATTTGCATTGGTTTTAGGGTACATGTAAGCCTGTTTCATAGTTGATCTATCGATTCCATTACCACAAAACAAGACATTCTCGAACCTTATATCTAAATCGTTTCAGCGAGTAATATATATTTTACATGAGATGTCCGATGCCTTACCTAAAAATGAGTCATCTAGTCACCTTTGATGTGAAGAGTTTATATATCCGATTGATGAAACCCAAAGTGAATTCTAGAATGCATTAACACATTTATCATTTCATTCGTAAATGTTACACTGCTACTTTACAAATTCAGTACATTTTGATATTTCACAGTTGTAATTTATGACGTCATAAGTTTAACGTCACTCATATGTCATTGTCAGTTACACCGAAGAGCTGTCATGAGACAGTGAAGGTACTATGTCTAGAACTGATATAAATTGATATAAAGATGATGATGGATTAACTTGGACTTCATTATTTCCTTATATACCCCCCCCCCCCCCCCCCCCCCCCCTTCCTCCCTCTCTCTCTATATATATACATATATATAAACAAGTGATTTCGTGCTTGTGAAAATTCCTTGGTGTAAAGAAGAGCCGTTCGACGGCGAACGATCTTGTGTGGATAAAGGAGTTTTGACAAGCACGAATTTCTGGAACTGTTTTACATACAAGGTATATAGCCACAAACATATCTTGTACATAAACAAACTCGATGGCTTGTTTGCAGATCCATGTCACAACTGTCAAGGCTTTTTGGACAAAAGTCAGATCTCTCCTGACGTGACATGTCTTCATATCCAGATACATGAAAAGTACAAAGATCGTCTTAAGTTACACATCGAAAACTTGTATAGTCATGGATCTTCTTCCGTGGTTCTCAAGTTTGAAGGAAAATACGCTATCCCAGCAGTCCATGATGTCATTAGAACTACTAAAGAAACTCTCAAGAGATTAGATAGTACTGCAGTTGACAAGGGTCTTCGATATACAGTGGAGGGAAAAGAGCTCAGAGGATCAAATGTGATGCTGATAAATATTTCTTGCGCTGTATGTTCGAGGTGCACCTCAGAAGTGAGAAAAGATGCGACGGGAAAAGTGTTGAGTATGCACATGGACATAGCAGCCGTCAACAGTAAATCAAAGAAACAGAAAAAAGAAAATCCTAACCTCGATGATGAACGGAGAGCAATTATGAATGGCTTCATACGAAATGTGTGTGCTCTACAAAACGTTTCTGGTGGTGGAAGTATTATTGTACATTTCCTAGGTAAGGACACGAAGGATCCAGGAACATACATTGGAGGGTTTGATGAGATGGTAAATACAAAACTGAATCAACTTTTACCGCCAGGCGAACTATTTGTAAATAACTTCAAACGGAAACATTTGAAAGGCAGGGGTTATGTGATAAAGTTTGACGTTGCATCAAGCAGAACATTATCCACTATGGACATGAAGACCAAACTACCTCTGGACGATTGTCTTCTAGAGCTTGATCTGCCGAGTCTTAGAACATTCATGAGGACTCTGTCATCAAGATGTCAGCAAGAAAGGAACAAGCAACAACTTCAACAACAGAGGGATAATGATCTTGTCGATCTGCATGAAAGTAGGCATGTGCAGCTGAAGAGGTTTCCTCCTGTCGGGCCTGATTTGAGTCACAGAAATGCAACAGACATAATCTGGGACCAACTGAAGTTAGGTGAAAACATCAGTGCATTTGCCAAACTGGAAGAGGGTGGAACTTATTACTGTGGGATAGCCGAAGAGGTTCGAGAACTAAAACGATATCAAACTAAATATTCAGAAACAAGAGGCATTCCTCTTCCAAACGGACCGACAGGAGATGTGGAAGCCTTTCTGAAGGAGAAGATTGAGAAGGAAATGGTTGCAGTGACTGAACATTTCGATGTTGATAAAATGCAAAACTATTCAAAATCAGTCAGCATCAAAACAGAACCTCATGAGGGGATGATCCTAGTTGTACATGTGCCTGCTTATCGAGGACTTCTATTTTTTGATAAATGTGGACCGGAACGTATAGATATGATGATACTGTAGACATTGTGAGACGCCTAGCTTTAGATGAATGGTGTAAAGTAATAAAACAATATCATAACATGCAATGAACATGCTCGATGCCTTAAAGGCAATTAAAAAGAGTGTTAGAAACACAAGCATAAGGGCAGATATTTGATGAAGGTGTTTTTGTAATGATTGTGAGTTTTTTAATAAACTTGTTTATCTGTATAAACTGTTGTGTTTTATCTTTTGTTGTAAATTATCGATGTGTCTCAACAGTGAACTCATGACATTCGTCTTATTGTAAACTAATTAAGTATAAGACTAGTCATCATTCCCGATTCTATTCCAATCAGAGACACGTTACATCTTGAACACTTCTTATTTGTTAAAGTAAGTGAATCAATATTCTAGTTATGTCACGATGGTCTGCAAATAATTGGTTGATATTTGAAACGTACCATGCAATTGGGTACTCGTATGCATACACACATTTAGAAAGTCAGAGAGTCTGACCACTGGTTCCAACTCATTCCCAGAATCAATACAGAAAACAACAACTACCAAACTACCTCAAAGACCTCAGAACCTTTTTCCTAAATCTGTTCATGTTAATTTCAGGATCAGATACAGGCAGTGAAATACACCAGCTGAAATTACCATGCAGTGATCCATTTCCTCCAACTACCTACTACCTTGGTGACAGTTTCGATGATGCTCTGACATATTTTACACAAGGTACAGAATAACAAACACTTTACAAGTATTTACAGACTCTGTGTCTTGCGAATGAATATCATACTTACAAGATTCAAGCACAGATATTCCGTAATTCTGTAAAAATATATTATGCTACCAATTATAAGTTTCTCAAAGCACTGCGTGGCATTTCAGAACAACATAATATGTTGACGTAATCTTGTACATATCTCTACAGTTCAACAATGTCATTGCACATTAAGTCTACTGACCATTAGCTGAGAGAATCGCGAATATGATCTCATCCTCATATTGAAGGAATGTTGCAAAGTCCAGCGTTTAACGAACAACAAACTGAACAAACGGATCTATTCAATTATAAACACAAGAAAGCAGTTACAAATGAAGCCGATTTTGTTCGAACCTTTTGTCTAATTTCTATGATGTCAAGTTGGTTGATGAACCGTGACATTAAGAGTTCAGACACAGTGATTTCTATTACATAATATGTATATTACATGTTCCGAGGAATTTACAGGAGCTCATTTATTTAAAAAGAATGTTTTTCATTGAAGGCACCCTGATCTAAGCCTCTGTAACTCGCTGTGTGCGGTGCAACCATTGGTCAAGCAATGTTGCACTGGTCTTTGTTACGAATGCTAGTTTTGTTCCCTTTATGACTGTTGGTTTGCCTGCTCGCTGTTCATATGTAACTACATACACATAACTATATAAACCTTTACTTACACAGAGCAAGCAATGCTTCCAGTGAACTTTGTCAGCGTCCTCAAGAAGGAACATCCACATGTGGTGAAACGAGTGGCTGAATTATTAGAATACAATAGAGGGGGCATTGCTTTATTTGGTCGGTCGCTGGCAACAACCTTAAACTTGCCTTGTCACAAACCACCTGATGTTTTGCAGTGTGACGTATTGATCATCACACAAAAGTGCCTACCTTTTGTTATATCTTTCTCATCTGAAACAGTTGATGCTATTGACAAATATAATGCTGAATTGAGGGTGATTTTTGGAAAATACACAGCAGAAAGGTTCACTTTCATCTTTTTGGCCACTGACGAGAAAATATATGGGAAAAAGATCAAATTTCACTCCACTGTCCATAAAAGAAGGTCTACGGTAATTGTATCCTGCTTTCCTGATCAAAAACACATGACCGATTCCAAATTTGAAGGGCTGAGGAATGCTTTAACAGCTACAGCTGCAAGAACAAGTATTCCTATGGCACCTAAAGAAGGGGGAAAGGGATCGTTTTGGGTTTTGATGAAAGAACAGTTTTCAAAGTTACTTAACAATGTTGATCTACGCCAACCATTAGATGTATCTAAAACACTTCATGGGAAAACAGTGTTCATGTTTGAAGCTGCCCTACGACTAGAACGCAGTGGTAAAACACTGCTCATCTGTGACAGCGTGGAGGAAAAGACCAAACGAAAGTAGGTTTGCAGACAACATACTTCATATGCTCCATCACAGCTATTGTAATACTGTATCAGGCATGATATATTAAGCTGATAGGGTTTGCATATAACTATGTTGATTGATAATTACCAGCACAGAGGCTGCTAAAGCAGTCTAACATAAGGAGGTATTCTTCACAATTAACAGGTGTAGAGGCTAGTGCTGATTTCTTTGCAACATCTTCAACTGTGTATAACAATAACACGTATACTAACATGTAATCTTTGCGTGATGGAAGTGTTAAGATATGAGAGTAAAGAACATGCCATCTTTCAGTCATGCCCCAGCTGAAGTGACCATCGAGACAATTGACTCCTTCCGTCAGTCTGGTCAGGACTGGTCACAGTTCAAGTACATCGTTGTAGCTGCCACACGTCACCAGTTCAAGGACATTCAGGACACGTTGAAGGCACTTAGGACTCCAATATGGAGGATCTACGAACGTGACGAAGGTTAGTAACGATTAGATTATAATCATGCCTGTGAACACAAGAATATTTTTATCCTAATTTCTTTCAATCCCTTGCAGATGCCTTCTTTCACTTCAAGGTTGTGAATTGCCATGAATAATATTATAGATATGAGAATATTTAATACAGAATCAGTTTACCTTTTTTCAAAACGTAAACTATAGTTCCCTGATGGTTCCTGATGGAAATTGATAGCAGTACATTTACTTCTGCTGAATGAAGCTAGATACATTACACAGAAAAAAAAGTAAATTGCTGCATATTTGTTTCAGTTGAAATCCCCACAGAAACTGTGAGTGTTGGGCTCATAGGCTATCCAAAGACAGGGAAAAGTCTTCTCGCGAATGCAATTGCAGGTAAGAAACTGTTCGATGCTGGATTACAGAAACCCAGAGCGGTATGTCAGGAGAAACGCGCAAGAATTGGTAACAGGGCAATTCAAATATTGGACACACCTGGATTTTCGTTCAAACAGAACATTAAGAGAACAGTCGATGTGGTGGTGACAAAGGCAAGTTCCATTGATGCCTTCTTGCTTGTCGTGAAAGCATCTCCAATGACATATAACGAAGAACTGCTCCTCAAACATGTCAGATCTATTGCGGGGAAGTTCATGTCACATAAAATAGTGCTCGTGCTTACAACATTAGATGACAACCTCACTTTGAAGGAATACCTAGAGAACATTCCTAATTTCCTGAAAGACTTCCTCCAGTTCTGCAACAACCCACCTGTGCTTTTCAATGTCAACATTGGGACACAGTCCGAGAAGGCAAATGATCAAAGACGAGAATTGTTTAGGATTATAGGAGAAACATACATGGGAAACCTGTGCAAGAGAATAAACTAAATGTGAACACGATTCGACAGAAAGTAACTGAAGCAATCTGTGAACTGTCACTCTTTACACACATATCATACATACCCATTGTTGTGTATGAATGAAAATTGTATTTGTTTGTCTAGTGATACCGACACATAATGTTGAGGTGGCGACCCAGATACAGTGTGACCTACCTTATAAATGCGTATGTGTCCGTCCGTTAACCGTTTCAGGAGCAGGACTCTAAATCCGTTAAAATTATTGTTGACACTTTCTATACACGCCGGTCTAGTGGTGAACGTATACTCTTATACTTATCTGATATGTTTGTTTATTGCACAGACTAGTGTTAATTTTTTTATTTTGTTTTGGGCACATTACTGCCACAGGCTCTACAATGCATTAAGCAGGATTTTATGAACGCATCACGAGACGACTTGCCTACTCACAAGGTCAATATTGTTATTCTCACTTTTATTACAATCGTGTGGGTTTAAACGAAAAAAATCAGTTATGTCTTATGATTGAAATGTTAGCTATTTTCTAACAGTTTGTGTCTATTGAACACATTTGACATGACATCTGTACCAAGTGTACCATGTTGCTTTAGTTGATCCGTTTTTCAGTTTTGTTCACATGTACCTCCTGTTTGTACCCCTGAAGATCCGGGGTAGAATAGGTCTTCAGCAACCCATGCTTGCTGTAAAAGGTGACTATGCTTCTCGTAAGAGGTGACTAAGGGGATCAGGTGATGAATGTCATCGATCCCAATTGCATGGATCGATGCTCATGATTTCAATCACTGGATTGTCTGGTGCAGACTCGATTATTTCCAGACTACAATCATATAGCTGGAATATTGCTGAGTGCAGCGTAAAACAACAAAACAACCTAACACCAGCCTTCTGTTTGCGTACTTGCAGTTTACATGTGTTAGCTAGGATTCAGCAAAAAAACTTTGAAAATAATATTCTAAAATAAGTATTTTGAGCACAATGATATCGATGAGCTGAAGTAACCATCGCATATACAAATAAAATCAAACTGTACTAGTATCAGATGTAACATACATCATCTGATCTGAGTCTGTCACATACAAATCAGATTACTGGTAAATCAGTTGTATCCCATTCTAACACAACATAATTTATATGTACACATTAAGTCCACCATACATATTGTTTTCTCTTTCTCACAATATGATCAAGAGGCCAATGACGTCCCCAACGTGTAAATAAAGACATCTTCATTGATAGGATTGTTTGTGATTTTTATTAATGCAGCTTAAGGTTTGGATATTTCTGAAAAATGAATTAATCGTCATCATAATTACACATGCTTTTGTCTGGAGAAAATGGCCCACCGTCATATAGCTAGAATATTGGTGAGTGCGGCGTTAAACAACAAACAAAGAAAACAAACAAACCAGAGAAAATGGAAGAGAAATGAATTACACATGTATTCTCAAGAATAAATGTCGTAAAATTATATAATGTGACACCAGGTATTAGAGAATCCGATAAGGCCTTGTTTATCAATGAGCACAAGTAAGACGATTGTCACCATACAGTTGCATTAGCAAACACTGAGGTAGTGAGTGAGTTGGGTTTAACGCCACTTTTAACAGTATTCAAGTTACACCACGGCGTGTCAGCTTAATGTGGGAGGAAAGCCCGAAGTGATGCAGGTCTCAGACGTTTACCACTTCGGTGAAACCCACGAGCACGGGAATGGTGCTGACAAACCTAGAAACATAATCGGGGCGAACCGGGATTCGAACCAACAATCATAGGTTTCTGGTGAGCCCAAGGGACGCAACTCTGCACAGCGAATCACGGAGCCTGAGACGACTGGGTCACCCGTGGCCCCCTGAGTAATGAGTGGCGGTGGGGTAGCCTAGTGTTTAAAGCTCTCGCTTGTCATACTGATGGCCCGAGATCGATTCTCCCACGAGTACAATGTGTAAAGCGCATTTCTGGTGTCCCCCGCCGCGGTATTGCTGGAATATTGCAAAAAGCGTCGTAACACCAAACTCACTGAGACCCGTGAAGATCCGGGTTAGAATAGGTCTTCAGCAACCCATGCTTGTCGTAAAAGGTGACTATGCTTGTCGTAAAAGGCGACTAACGGGATCGGGTGGTCAGGCCCGCTGACTTGGTTGATGCACGGTTATCGATCCCAACTGCGTTGATCGATGCTCCTGATATCAATCACTATATTGTCTGGTCCAGACTCGTATATTTACAGACCGCCATCCACGAGCACGGGTATAGTGCTGACAAACCTAGAAACATAATCGGGGCGAACCGGAATTCGAACCCACCTAGCGTGCCATAGGGACGCAACTCTGCACAGCGAATCGCGGCGCCTTAGACGACTGGGCCACCAGTGCCCCAAGTAAGTTAGAGAAACATATGAAAGCTTGTTTATCTGTATATTTAGTGGGACAAGCGTGTTAACGCGGCGCCTTAGACGAGTGGGTCACCCGTGTCCCCGGGACATTATAATGCCGTAAACATGAGATCACTGTTAGGTTAAAGTTTCACCCGATGTTACTGACCCGTGAAGCTTCCGGGTGGAATAGGTCTTCAGCGACCCATGCTTGCCGTAAAAAGTGACTCTGCTTGTCGTAAAAGGTGACTCTGCTTGTCGTAAAAGGTGATTCTGCTTGTCGTAAAAGGCGACTACCGGGATCGGGTGGTCAGGCTCGATGACTTCTTTGGCTTGTTTGTAATACAGTAAAATACGTTCATGACGAACACGCTTAAAACGAACCATGTTATCCATAGGGCGAACCCGTGAAGATCCGGGATAGACTTCAGCAACCCATGCTTGCCGTAAAAGCCGACTATGCTTGTCGTAAAAGGCGGTAGGTCAGGTGGTGCCTCACGATAAGGTGGGTTCCATTTTTTAAATTCTCTATAGTCTTCTAAAACGATGTGTTTATTTACGCTTGTTGCAGACGGATACCACTTCCTTTATTATCTTTAGGAGTCTATCTTGATGCAATAAGTGCCCCAGGGAGGATTTAATCTGAAAGAGAATTTTACAAACCTGTAGAGGTTATGCTTTCTCTGATGAAATCCTCCTTGGGGCACGGCCGCCCGCCTCCCCACACTCCGTCTTCCATGAGACATTGGAAAAGTGATTTGGGTGAGAGTCGCTCCCCTTGGCGCGTGTCGCCTGTAGAGAGTGAGGCCCCGTTGGGGTGGTCATATATCATACAAAAACGCTGTTTTATTAAGGAAAATGGTTACAACTTGAGCAAGGAAAATGCAATAAGTGCCCCAAGGAGGATTTCATCAGAGAATCTATAACCTCTACAGGTTTGTACGAATTTCCTGACGTCCTCGAATAGAAAATAGAAAACAGGAAATAGGCAGATTCATGGTTTGGACCGTACTACATGTGTTCGATGGTGTGTTAGCGTTAGTGTTTTGTAAGAAATTTAAGTCTGGCGTACGTGATAACATTCCTTACCAACGTACTTTTTTCTCTGACAAGATCGAAGTCTAATTATTCTTTGAATATAGACCAATTTTTGCACTCATTTTAATGTCATTAATATATATGTGTCTCCATATCACCTGTAAAGTTTGCATCCTGTAAACAATAGATGTGTGGTTTTCTTGTCTCTAGTTGTCTTCTTTTTAAAGCTCTTGTTCTATTCCTGGCTATTTTAAATGTTTCCATGGTTAACGACATTCTTTTCCCTTCCAAGAAATCACGTTGTTTTAAATACTGATACTCATCATCAAAGTCATGTTGCTTGCATAAATTACACATCCTTTCACCATCTTTTATTTTGTTACATCTGTGTGTTTCAACTTGTAATTAAATAAAAGCGACAAAACACTTTCCATATTCCTAAGAAATGTCCTTGTTAGATTATTTTCAGCCACAAACCCTTTCCCCTAAAAAGATAAGTATCAAAATATACATGAAGTTTCAATTCTGGAAGGTTGGTGATTCGAAATGCTAAACGTACACCCTAACAGATGATAATACTCACAACCTCACAGAGATTCCATTCATTCTGCACGCCGATGCCTTCAGAGCGAGATTATACGTCAAAACTGAAACAACGCCGATTCCTGGGATATGCGAAGAGGAATTTGCAAACATACCGTTCACAACTATCCTCCTCAGGGCTTGGTCATGTTGCGTAGTTGTTAACCCATACTTTATCGCCGCATTGCATTTGTAACTTAAGCTTGTCTTTGAGGGAGTTTATTGTGAAGGTTGTGAGAAATGAGACGGCAAAATGAAAGAGACAAAACCCTTTCCATATTCGAAAAAAACCATTTAATAAAGCGACACATCTCTTTCCATATCTAATAGTCACAGCATAATACAGAGGCGACTGTACGATACCGACTATATCATGAACATGTGTTTATGAATCTTTCACCGGAAAGAAAAACACTGGAACGTATCTCACATCATGCACATGCATCGGACATAATTTTTGTCACTGAGGCGTCAAATTTGGAAATGTCCTCCACATCTCTACCATACACCGTTTTGAAAGCTTTACTGAGACCTTGAATGTTGATCAAACAGCTTCTGAGCAAGAGTCGTATGACGCCCTGTGAAATCTTCGAAGAAAGAGCATGCTCGAGTGTATCTCAAAAGTTGTGAAATGTAAACACCAAAGGCTGGAGCTGCAGGAATATTAATCGACACAAGGGGAAAGTTGACTATTGGAAAGTTGAAGTCATCCCTCTTGTCATACAGTCTTGTGGATAGTGTTTGGCCACTATGAATCTTTATGCATAGATGTAATAATATCAAACAGATGAGGCAGCCTCACTGGCCTCCTTTATGTCTCGTTCAGGTGGGTAAATCAGTCGAAGGGAAACGGCTATTTGATTGTCATTGAAATATATCAGATCATCGATATACCTGAAGCTTAAGTTAAACCTCTTGGCCAAATTACCTTATTTTCTCTTTGCTAATCCGAGCAGAAATTCTGATTGATATGCTAAGAGAAACAAGTAGAATCAGCAAGAAGAGGAGCTCAGTTG